GGAACCAGAGACCAAATTGCAAATATGCGCTGGATTATGGAGAAAGCTAGAGAGTACCAAAAAGACATCTACTTCTGCTTCATTGACTATGCAAAAGCCTTTGACTGTGTCGACCACAGCAAACTATGGCAAGTTCTTAAAGAAATGGGAGTGCCTGATCACCTCATCTGTCTCCTGAGAAATCTCTATGTGGGACAAGAAGCTACAGTTAGAACGGGATATGGAACAACTGATTGGTTCAAAATTGGGAAAGGAGTACGGCAAGGCTGTATATTGTCTCCCTGCTTATTTAACTTATATGCAGAATTCATCATGCGAAAGGCTGGGCTGGATGAATCCCAAGCCGGAATTAAGATCACCGGAAGAAATATCAACAACCTCAGATATGCAGATAACACAACCCTGATGGCAGAAAGTGAGGAGGAATGAAAGAACCTTTTAATGAGGGTGAAAGAGGAGAGCACAAAATATGGTCTGAAGCTCAACATCAAAAAAACGAAGATCATGGCCACTGGGCCCATCACCTCCTGGCAAATAGAAGGGGAAGAAATGGAGGCAGTGAGAGATTTTACTTTCTTGGGCTCCATGATCACTGCAGATGGTGACAGCAGTCACGAAATTAAAAGACACCTGCTCCTTGGGAGAAAGGCGATGGCAAACCTAGACAGCATCTTAAAAAGCAGAGACATCACCTTGCCAACAAAGGTCCGTATAGTTAAAGCCATGGTTTTCCCAGTAGTGATGTATGGAAGTGAGAGCTGGACCATAAAGAAGGCTGATCGCCGAATAATTGATGCTTTTGAATTATGGTGCTGGAGGAGACTCTTGAGAGTCCCATGGACTGCAAGAAGATCAAATGTATCCATTCTTAAGGAAATCAGCCCTGAGTGCTCACTGGAAGGACAGATCGTGAAGCTGAGGCTCCAATACTTTGGCCACCTCATAAGAGAAGACTCCCTGGAAAAGACCGTGATGTTGGGAAAGGTTGAGGGCACAAGAAGAAGGGGACCACAGAGGACGAGATGGTTGGACAGTGTTCTCGAAGCTACAAACATGAGTCTGACCAAACTGCGGGAGGCAGTGGAAGACAGGAGTGCCTGGCGTGCTGTGGTCCATGGGGTCACGAAGAGTCGGACATGACTAAACGACTAAACAACAACATGCAGTGTCACCGTGGACTTTCAACACAACTGCTCAGAAGGGATGGAGGCTTGCATGGCAGAGGGAGGAGTGAGCAGGACCAGCCTTGTTAGCACTAGGAAAACGACGCTTTAGCTGTAGCTGTGCAAATACTGCAGCTCAAGCATATCCATAGACTTGAGCTGTTCTGGTGATTGCCTCTGCCTAGCAATTTACATACACAGTAAGCTGCACTTTACAAATCCATGTTGCAGAACATTTTTCACTTCACATGTTCCCCAAAGAAGAAAGCTTGACCTTGTCAACAATATCACAAATAGGTTTGAAATGAAAATGTTATTTGTGGCCCTTATCAGCCCGCAAGCTCGAGGAAGGATAAACCTAAACTGCTGCTACTTCGTTTGATTGCCACCTCATGAGAAAGCTTTTTTTTTTTTTTTAATGGTAGGATATAGATCTATAAAATAAATGAATTGCTACTGACTTTTTTCCATGGGTTTTTCTATCCTTTATCCAGGATGATGTACATAGGGATGTTTCTTCTTATTTACAATCACCTTGTGAGATTGATTAGGCCAACGTATAGTGATTTCCCTCGAACTACTCATCAAGTTTCGTGGCTCTCTTGTCCATTGAGCCTTGATTACTGAATGCAGACTCCATTAATGTGTTGGTAACATAAAGATCAAACCTATCCATTCTTAAGGAAATCAGCCCTGAGTGCTCACTGGAAGGACAGATCCTGAAGCTGAGGCTCCAATACTTTGGCCCCCTCATGAGAAGAGAAGACTCCATGGAAAAGACCCTGATGTTAGGAAAGATTGAGGGCACAAGGAGAAGGGGACGACAGAAGACGAGATGGCTGGACAGTGTTCTCGAAGCTACGAACATGAGTTTGCCCAAACTGTGGGAGGCAGTGGAAGACAGAAGTGCCTGGCGTGCTCTGATCCATGGGGTCACGAAGAGTTAGACACGACTAAACGACTAAACAACAACATAAGGATATTAATATGGTTAATATAATATAGCTCCCTTGCAAAGCTACTTGAAACATGCCTGCTGTTTAGTGAGAAGAGGATGCTGGCTGGACTGATCCAACAGACTCTTTTTACTTAGTCAACCTCTATACACGGTTAAATTCCTTGATCAAAAAGCAGCATTGATATGAAATTGTCCAGCAGCAGTACATGTCACAGCCTCTTCTCCCTATACACATAAAAATGTAATGTTGTTGTCACGTTGCAGTGTGTAGCCACACCAGCTCCAGCATGACGACAGAGTGGCAGGCAGCAAAGGTGAGCTGTTTTAACTGAGGATTAGGAGCACTTCACAAACCACCCTGTGAAGTGCTTTCCCCCTCCCTCATTAAATGCAGCTACAATTAGCTTATGGGCTTGGGGCAGGCTAGGAGGTGATGGTCAGTGAGATGTGAAAAATGGGTGTTTATTCAAGTATAAAGGAAGGAGAGACTGGTCAGGTGTGAAAGAAGTGGGGAGCTGGCAGATACGTAGGTGAAGCTAGCAAGCAAAGTGAGTTGGGGCAACAGTCTCCAGTTATTTATACAGTATTTCTTTCATCAGTCCCCTGCTGATATTTCTTTGGGGACTTGCAATGAATTCAGAAGTGGTTTGTTTATTACTTTATAATAAATTAGATTTTGGCCACAGAACTGCCTTGTTTTAACATACTTTCCCATAACCTTTTATTCTTTTACATTTGTGGTGCCCTACTTTCGGTCAACTGCATTATTGATCAGAACATCAACTGTCCCTTTATGTGACAAGCTTTTTTATGGTCTGGATAAAGATCATATTAAATCTTTATGACACCTATAAATGTTCCAGTGGATAAGTGAGTAGAACAGAATGTTTTGATTGTGGTTGTACTGTGTATCATGTAAGGAGCACAACCATAGCTCAGTGGTAGAGCATCCAAAGTTCAGTCCCCAGCATCTTCACGGTGCACTGGCAGAAAATCCTGTCTGAAAACCTGGAGAGCCACTGCTGGTCAGTACAGAAAATACTGAGGTTGATAGACCAACCATCTGACTTGGTGTAAGGTAGAGCTTCCTATGATCCAATACTCTCAGTGATTGTTAACTGCTAAAGAACAAAAACAAAACCCTGATCTGACTCATTAATAATCAGTTGTTGGAAATGCCAATGGGCAATTAAAAATGGCAAACCCATAATTAAGATTGTAAGGTAAGGACAAACAATAAGATCCAAAGCATGTAGAGAAGCCCTGACAGATGACTTTATTTTTTAAGAAAATCATCTTTGGGATGGAGCATTTTTAGCAGAGAGTTGGGGCAAGGGAGATTGCCTAACCTACTAATCATTTTTTGTTGTTGATCTGATTGCCTCTAAGTTGGCCCAACATTCCAGGTGCATATTTACTATGAATGGCTTCTAGTTTTCAGGATCACAAGGCATATATATTTATCAAGCTTTATTAATATAAAACTTAGTAAAAAAAACACCCAGTTAATTCTGTACATTAAGACTCTGACAATACTATACAAAATCTCTGACAATACCATACAAAATCTTTTTACATGTACAAAGATGAATAAACTCTAACAAAGTGAGTCCAGATTAGAACAGACATTTTTTCCTTTACATTCTGCCTTACTCCTTTTTGCCATTTACTTAACCTACACTCATCGATTTTCTCTCAGTAGATTTAGTTTTTTAAAAGCATCACATGTCTAGGCATGGTAAGTAGCATAAGAGCAAAACAAGCATGGTGAGCACACACACATGGTGTCACAGAAATTTCTGTAGATGAGTATTTCAGCATTTTTAAAGTTTGAGAAAAATAAAAGATGCCAAATGAAAAAGTTGCAGCATGAAGACATTGATATTTAAATTAGCATCATATAGCAATCTCATCTTGTTGTCTTATGAGACTGTATACATACTCTTTAGAGTTGGTGACAGTGGAAATCTGACCTACCAGAAAGAATCAATGAACAATCAAAGTGTCAATGAAAAATCAAGTACTTTGGTTCAGCTCTTTACATTATTTACTTACATTAAGGCATATATCATCTAGATGTGGTGTAAATTGCACTCTACATAGCTGATATGGGAATAAGAGATTCTGGTAACACTGGTGTTGAACTGAGTTCCAATTAAATAAGCGGGACTTACTCCCATGCAATATGTTTAGGTTTGGCAAATACAATTCATTTATTTGATGAAATCTTCCATAAATGAAGAAGCTTTAACTAGATTTCTTCTAAAACTTAACATCTACATTTGGCATTTTTGAACAAATTTTGACTAAACATAATTTAAGTGTGAAGTGAGCTAACAATCTAAATTTAAACCTTGGGACAGACTGAGATTAAGTTAGCTGAATTTAGGTCCTAATGAAATTTGCAAATTTGTCATAACTACTTAAGTCCCATTGAAACCAGTAGGAACTAATTGCAACTGTCTGGATTAAGTCCCTTAAGGCTAAGAAGACAGAGTGTGCTTGAAGACAAAATAACCTTGAATCATTTTGCCCCAGACAGTCTGCAAGAGCTTTTCAATTTTGCAAAGAAAAGGTTGGATAATTAGCAGACACTCCAGCCTAACAAGTCTTTGCATTTGCATTCTTCCAATGATATAGAAGAGTCATTACGAAATGTAGAACACCTGTTCAGTATCAAAAACTCTGCAGCAGACATGGAAACTTCAGTGGCTGCCTTAAGAATAAACTATGGATAAATCCTTGGAAATCTGCATTTTTCCTGCAAGGGAAGTTTCAAGCAGTTTGTTTTCTTCACACAACTGAATGCAGCCACCTGGAAGACCTCAAGTCTTTCAAGAAGTGAGTCTGTGGGTGCAACATCATTGTAGGAGTCCAAGTCAGCTGTTAGCACTGTCAAAAAAATAAATTAAGAATAGACCTTTTATCAAAGATTGCTATAAAGAGTTACTGACAAGTTTGAGTAGAAACCAGAACTGCAGATCAACCTATTAGTCTAAGATTCAAATCTTACATGATCTTGGAAATGTCAAGTTTTTAACTTTGCTTTGCTGCTTGACAATACAGATTATAAATGGGAATTCTCCTTTAAATCCCCTCCCCCGAAAACAGTAAAGAAAAAGAAACTACGTTTGCACACCAGCTGTGAGAAGATAATTTCTCTGGACAACTAAAGAAGTGCTTTTGTTTCTATACATAATAAGTTAAGCTCTACAGAAAACTTTTTTTAAAATCCGTTTCCCATAAAACCAGAGAATGCAAATGAAAGCTTCCAGTCTTATTGCTTTTTAAAATAGATTTGTAATATTGTTTTGACTTGTAAAAAAAATTGTTATTGTAAATGGATATTAGCTGACTGCAGATTTGTATATATATTAAAGTCCATATAAAACTAAAGTCCTGGGAAATTAAGTTACAGAGGAAGCACATTTCCTCTGGAACAGACTTGAGGCCCTTTCAATGTTTTGGAATACAACTCCCATGATCCCAGACAATTGGTACCAACTTGGGAGAAGCTGATCTGCAGCAATGGAATGTATATAGCTATTTGATGTAACACATTAGATATGTTTTAAATAAAATAACAGGGATGGTATAAATGTCATTTTAGGGTGTCTATTACAAGCATACTTGCAACAGAATCCTATGAATGTTTACTCAGAAGTAAGGCCTATTAAATTTGGGACTGCGCTCTAAGGATGCTGTTACCAAAAAAACCTTGTGGGTAGTTGAAAAGCCTAACAAGGAGCTACAGATATTTGACTGAACTTTAATGTCAAGCACCTGAAACCTGTATGGCAACCTTCACATAGTTGTCATTGTTCTATGGTCTGGTTCACTAACAAAAGATCACTGAACATATTGGCAGCCAGTGGGCAATTTAATAACCTCCCACTCCACTAAAATAAATTGGCCTATACTTGCCATTTTTAATAAACCAGACCCACTCATTTCAAGAGGAGCTATTCTAAGTTTAAACAAAAATCAGCATCAGAGCAATCTTTGGAAATCTCCTTTCAACATAAAAGTGGCCAGATTATAAAGCCACAATAATATTAATTCTAATAAATCATGTCCCCCCAGAAGTGAAGCAGTTCTTACCTGCTGGCTGACAATGTTTTCCTGCCTACATTCTGAGGCATGGGCTCACAGTGGAAGAAGCTTTTTATCCACCAGCATCTTTCAAACACGTCAGGTAACCCTATAAAAGCATACACATATGGAGCTGGTGAATAATAAAAACCAAAGCGACAAAAAAGGCTATTAATTTTAATGAAGCAACAATACCAGAAAAGGCAAAGCATACTGTAGTCTTATCTGAAAACATATTAGAATTAAATGCACAGTTGGGGATGGCAGGTCAAATTATTCCCATTAAGTATGCTAAACTTTTCTGGATGTTAGCTAATAATTTAAGTAAGAGTCACAATACCATGATGTGCTTTTTCCTGGTCCAAGGAGTTTGTGGGTTCAGAGCAGCAAGATGAAGTGCTTGAAGAAACACTAGAGTCAGAATTCAGTCGTGCTGTGTGTGAAAAAGAGAGCCTACATTACATTTGGGGAAATCAAATCAGTATCATACAGACCAGTGTTTAAGGTTCAAAACACCTTCGATTACTTTTAAAGAAACAACTCTTAAAATGTAACAAATGGTTAGTAAACACATATCCGTGCCTATTGTTTCAAACAGTGGCTAATTTTTTACACTTCTGTAAGCAAATGTTAATTGCAAGGAATCATGTTGCATCATATGACAGCAAGTTAGTATGATTCAAATGCATATGATACATTCAAATAAGACTGATATTAAAAAGATTATTTCAATATTAAATGTTTCTTGGAGAAACAAAGAATTCCCTCAGGAAGAGTCATATAAACAGAGCTAGTTTTAAGGGCAGGTGGTCCAGGAAACTGCTGGGGGAAATCAAGTTTGGTGGGCAACAGGTTCCAGTTAGGGGCACCTGCCACAGGTTAGATGACAGGAATAAATCATGCATGCAGAAATTGGTTACAAATACAATTAAAGATATTCCAGAGCTGAGCAAAAGGAGGGGTGAAGCAAATATACCTCTTGCTTGTGGTGCTTTTAAATCTAAGGCCAGCCCTAAACATGAATAATGAAACCCATACTAGTATGCACACTAAACATGTGGCTGTCTGTACAGAAACAAACATTTTGAGATCATGTTAGTCCTCCTTTCAAGGCAGAAAACTTACTTCTGTAGTACTGGTTCTTTGCCAGAAGGCACCCAGCAGAAGGCACAGCTGCCATTGCAATGGTTCTGCCCAGAGAAAAAGGCAAAAATTATGTAAGGACACCTGCAGGTCAAAAGAAAATAGGGAGGTTGTAGGTTAATTTGCTAAACCACAGCATAGAGATCAGATCTCTACAGTACTGGGAACTGTATCATATGCTTGCACTATAAGATTATAGACCTTATACTTTATGGGTCTGAGTTTTCTAGGGACAGGGGGAAGATTCCTGTAGATGGAAGAATGTGTGGATCTTTCCCTCATGTGCCCAGAGTCCTGAGGTTTATGCTCACTACATGAAAATAAATCCCTCAGATTATGTTGCACCTTATCACTGAGCTCAGACACTTGCAAATGAATGCTTTTGCAACTGTTGGGAGCATTTTAAAGTCAAGAGATGGCCATAGGTAAAGGTAAAGGGAATCCTGACCATTAGGTCCAGTCGTGACCGATTCTGGGGTTGCAGCACTCATCTCGCTTTACTGGCCAAGGGAGCCGGCGTACAGCTTCCGGGTCATGTGGCCAGCATGACTAAGCCGCTTCTGGCGAACCAGAGCAGCGCACAGAAACACCGTTTACCTTCCCGCCGGAGCGGTTCCTATTTATCTACTTGCACTTTGAGGTGCTTTCAAACTGCTAGGTTGGCAGGAGCAGGGACCGAGCAACGGGAGCTCACCCCATTGTGGGGATTCGAACCGCTGAACTTCTGATCAGCAAGTCCTAGGCTCTGTGGTTTAACCCACAGCGCCACCTGCGTCCCTAGAGATGGCCATACAGAAAGCCAAATCAGATGATTTGTTCATTCAGCCTAATATTGCCCGGCTTCGATTTAGAGCTGGCAGCTTTCAGGCAGAAGTTGTTCACATCATGTCCTACCTTAAACTAAAAATGCCCAAGCTTGGGGCCTTCTATGTGTGAAACATGTGCTCTGCTTCTGAGCCCCAGCTTGGGTCTTCTCTGAATCTGCAGATCCATCATCAAAGTGCTCACCTTATGTAAAGGAGCTACTTCCCATGTTGGCAGCAACCCACTGCTTATTTAGGATCAGGTGCTTAGAGATTCCATCAACAGCCCAACTAAGATTTATATACCAGCACTGCAAAAGCTTTGCAACCTGTTAGATTCTTCAACTCAAAGCCATAATGCAGAGAGGCATGTCTTGCATTGCCTACTGATAGAAACTCACATCCAGTCAAGGAAATGCAATCTCTACGAACCCGCTTGGGGCATTATTACTTCAAATCATGAGTTGCGAAAAGCAAACTCCAGAAGGCACTTTATTCCTGCAGAAAGTTTGGGCATTCATTCACGGAATCCCAAGCGGGGAAGGAGAAAACTAGGCATGCACATGATCAGTCTAGATTACCTGTTGCTTTCTTTCTTGGCAGAAATCAGCAGCCACGTCGCGCTTCTTTTTTTCCCCTTCAGAGAAACACAGACCTCGCCACAGTCTGAGAAAGCAAGCTCGCTTTCACTGCCCGCCTGGCTTCGTCCTCTCACGCCTCCCTCTACGACAAGCTTTATATAGAGGACCCCTCGGCGACGGAGCTGAAATTTGACCCGACAGGCGGCGGGGGTGGGGGGAGCGGGGGCCGTCGCGCGCAACCGAACTCACTTGGCGCGCTGCCGGCTTGTCCTCCTTCAACCCGGCTCGGGCCAGGCCTGCTCAAGTCCCCGGATCCCCTAGCAGCAGCAGCAGCAGCAATAACAACAACAACGAGGCTCCCTCCCTGGGCACGTGCTGCGCCTCTGGCTGGCCGGGGAGGAGCGCGTGCTCCGCAGTCGCCCTTTCCATCGGCGGCGGAGGGGAGCGCGCCTTCGCAGCTCCTCTCGCTGCTTCAGGGCCCCGGAGGGTTTTGGCACCCGCAAACGGAGCTTGGACACAATAGTCGCTTTCCTCCAGAGGATTAAGCAGCAGCGGGCTTAGCCATCGAAGAGGAAGGGCACACTTAAAAACATAAAAACAAAACCGCGTTTCTAGAGTGCTGCCCTTTGCAAACAGTCCAGGTGTAAATCTCTCTGCTTGGAGGGCCCGGGCGTGTATTTATGCTGCATTTCATAGACTCATAGAAATGTAGAGTTAGAAGGAAAACAGAAAGGTCATCTCCAATGCAGGAATCGTAGCTGTACCATCCATGGCAAATGGCCTTCCATTTTCTGTTTAAAAACATCCACCACCTTCCAAAGTAGTCACTGTGGAGCAGCCAATGTTACTGTTTTATTCTTTTTTTGTAAACAGCTTTGAGGTTTTCTGCAATCAAGCGGTATATACATTTTATGAAATAAATGAAAGAAATCTAGGGGGGGGGGGGACAGATTGGTAAACTCATGACAATAACAGGAAAATGTTCCAGTCATCTTCAAGCAGAACAAAAATTAACACCAGGAGGGCTGATGGACATGACTGAGTCTTTAATGCTTCCCAAAGCCTGAAGTGCAGCCACCTGCCGTAGCTCAACTGGGAGGGAACCACCCAGTGGTGGTGTGGAACCACCACCAGAAAAAGGGTCCCCCCTTTCATAGTCCCCTATTTCAAACAGCAAAATCATGAAATGTCCTACTGCAAATGTAGTGATGCCACCCAAGTGAATCATGTTAAAGGGGCATTAAAAAAGTTTGTGGCTAATAAAGCTACCAATGGCTACTGGTCCTGATGGCTACATGCTACTTCGAGTAACCGAGGCAGCATGCCTCTAGCAGCAGCCAAGGGATGCTATTGCACTCATGTCCTGCTTGTGGGCTTACCATAGGATGGCCAGTGGGAGAACGAAATGCTGGAGTAGGCAACCCTTTGGTCTCATCCATCAGGGCTCCTCTTATGTACTTAAGATATACTTAACAGTGGCTGGCAATTTCCCATTTGTTCATCACCATAATAAGTATGGGAGCCAAACCTTTTTCTAATGGAGCTGATTTTACACTGTTGCCTGCAGTCAGACTCCGTTCTCCAGTAATGTTGGTAATAGTGCTGCAGAATGGTTGGCACCATAAAGCCAGTTGTCCCCTTTCACTCCTTTAAAGGGAAACTGGCAGGACCCTAGTTTCTCTTTAAAAGAGAACATTACTACTGACTGTCTGGACCAGGCATGAGGAACATGAAGCCCTCTAGATGTTGCTGAGCTCCGGCCATCCCTCACCAGTGGCCATGCAGGCTGAGACTGATGGGAGCTGGAGCCCAAGAACATATGGAAAGCTATAAGCTCCCCATCCCTGGTTTAGGCAATAATATCTAGTGTATTGGAAGAAAAAGTTGTATATAAATGTAAAAAATAAAATTACATTTCCACATTAGTGTACCACAGAAGTGCAGGAACTAGCCAGGTCCATTCTGCCAGTTGCTTATGTAATTGATTAGAAAAAAGCATACATCATTCAAACAAGCAAACATATATACTATTTGTTTCTTTACATAACTGTAGAGACTGGTGAACTATTCTAAATGTTGGGTGCCTCAAAGCCATATTTTTTATTGATTGATTGATTTATGTTGGCAATTTCTCCAATAATAATCATGTTATTTTTTATATGAAGCCCATCTGACTGGGTTGCCCCAGCCACTCCATAAAAAAGCAACAAAACACCGGGCATTAAAAACTTCCCTATACGAGGCAAGGAGATCCTGGTGCATACATTATTCTCTCTCAACTGCCCCCCCCCCCGCTTCAGCCAACATTTTAACCTTGCAACTGTCATGCTCAGTAGCTCAACCAATGAGATTCCTGGCTAAAAGAGAATTTGTACCTGGAATCTTCCTAATTCTAGTCTGAGACACTAACCCTTGCATAATACTATACCATTGGATTTCCTTATCAGTTTTACTAATAGACAAATGCAGCCAACTTTATTTTTACAGGGCTATATTACCAAGCTTAGGAGCTTGGCATGCATATCATTTCAGGCTGTGCTGTTTCCAGTTCTTGACGCATTGCGTTTATCCAACAAGGGTGGGGGGAGCCTGGGATAAGCAGCAATTCCATATGGAGTACAGTGGTACCTCGGGTTACATATGTTTCAGGTTACATACGCTTCAGGTTACAGACTCCGCTAACCCAGAAATGGTACCTCGGGTTAAGAACTTTGCTTCAGGATGAGAACAGAAATCGTGCTCCAGCGGTGCAGCAGCAGCAAGAGGCCCCATTAGCTAAAGTGGTGTTTCAGGTTAAGAACAGTTTCAGGTTAAGAATGGACCTCCAGAATGAATTAAGTACTTAACCCGAGGTACCACTGTACTTTGGTACTGCAAATACATCCACATTTGCTAGCAGCCCTGCACTTCATTCATATTTATACTGCACTTATTAAATGTGCACAGGGAGTTCAAGTGTAGCTTTCTGAGCTGTGTGACTTACATGAATGAGGGAATTACACCAGGGGTTGAGGGAGTAGCTGTGTTTGCCAGTTGCAGCAAAGACTGTGGAGAGTCTTGTGGCACCTTAAGGGCTGATATGTTTATTGTTCATGGACTAGGGCCCACTTCATCAGTCACTTTTAAAATTTATCTAAGAGGTAAAATAGGAAAGGGGGTTTCATCCTGACGGATGTGCCATATCACGTTATTCCATCTCTTGCAACAGCTTCAGTGGGCGGCACATCCCGTCCCTTCTCTGAAGCATCAGAGCTGGTTTAGTCATGTCTCCAGTACAGCATTGCTCAAAGTGCACTAAGTTCTAATGAAAATGTAGACTTGTCCATGAATGTAAACAAGTAGCAGACGTCCCTTTACTTAATATGAAACCTTTACCTCGTATGTTGAAGTGGCATTTTACACTGACCTCCTGTCAGTCTTAAATGGCAACTTATATACTGCTACTCCAGAATGGGAAACTTGGAGGCTTGCCCCAGGTTAAAATAGCACAGCTGACAGAGATAAGTGTCTGGAAGTGGAATGTGTGCTAAAATTAGTAGGATCACTTACTTCGTGTTTTACTTTTTAATTTGTCGTGATATACCGAAAAATGGTCCAGATGCAGGGTAAAGTAACAGACATAAAATGTTAACATATTAAAGGAGCTCATGCTGCGTTTAGATGACTAGTGTTTTCGTTATGTCCACTGAGGTGTTTATAGGGAGCTAATCATAAATCTGCACTAATTTTATCTCTCCCTCACTCTTTTGGCTCAATGTTTTAACCACCTGTCAAGTCATATTTCTTCACTCAGAAGGGAATTTGCCCCTTTGGGGACTATTAGATTGACTGACATTCTTGTGCTACAATAGGGTTTTCAGAGATGGAGTAAACATATGCTGTCCTTCAGTAGAGTAAAATCCTGAGGAAACTGGGGAGATTTGAGTAGGCCTGAGTAGCTGACTCAAAACAGTTTGTGACCTGAGGTAAACGGTTCACTCCCCCCACATCCCCATGTGCGTGCATGTGCACATGCATATAAACAAGGTGCAGAGTACCAAGACTAGCCTTGGAAGCTGTGGTAGAAAATTCCAAAAGTACTGCTTGACTAACAATACCACAATGATAAATTAAACAACAATTTGTGCTCTTTGATGACACCCATAATCAGCTGCCTCACTTTATCTCAGGGGGGTGTCTAAGCTTCTTCGGGCTAAGGACTGCCTTTCAAGGGCCATACGTAAGCTGTCAATGTGCAAGTATGCATATATGAAGAGCATGAAGATACGGGGCAGGAGAAAAAGTGCACAGATTCCCTCTTTACCGTCCCAAAAAGTTGGACGGTATATACATAGCACAGGTGCCCAACACAAAAAACCACTCAGCAGGCATGCAATATACATACTGCGCACACACACTCACCTCACATGCAGACCAAACACACATGCACACAGCGTACAAACTGTCTTTCACACAGAGATAACAATCTCTCTCACACACATATGTAGGCATCCAGTTCTGTTTTTTCCACACCCCACAAATGCAGGGACACCACAAATGGTAGGACTGAGCCACTAGAATCAGGAGGCATGAATGTGCTGCTTACACCATGCCAGATTTTAAGCATGGAACTAGCAGGACAAAATAAAATCATTTCTCTTCTCTCTCCCCCCACCCTGGCTTGCTTAGTTTGGGCACGGTAGTATATGCATTTCTGAGAGGTGTTAGACTCTAGAATCCTTGGTGCCCTTTAATTTAAGGTATTTGTGTTGGCAAGCAGTGATCCAGACCTGGTGACACCACTGCTTAAACAAAACTTTGAGCCCATGACATGTGCCTACAACATGACTACAACAAAGTGGGCTAGAAAGGTCATTTTTAATGGTAGATTATATTCCCCAAATCTCTGCGAAAGATCGCATGTTCTAAAACAGCATTTGCACAACTCTACAAATATTTACAAAGAAAGGAGAGGAAAGTTCATGCTCATATAAATACACGAAGAAGTGAAAAGGTTATCTGATACGAGTACATTTTTTGTTATGCGGGCACAGCGGTGACTACTGCATGATACTGCTTCATTAAGGCTAAGGTCCTTTGTTATTTGCCAGATTTGAATTCATAGTGTGTTTTCGAGTCAATTAAAATATATCTTCTGTTGATGCTCAAATTATATACTCATCAAGATTGATTAAGCAGCCACAGAACACTGTCTTGCTTCGTTCATTTCTAGAACAGTATATGCAAAGCTTGCGGCTCTCATCTGGGAGTGTTTGATAGTCTTCATGTCTCAAATGTTTTCAAACAAGTAGCCTTAAGCATTTGAAATGTGTCAAAATAGAGAATAAAGATAATAAATCATAGTCTCACCAGGTGGAATACACGCTTCACAACTATAGATTTAAATTACAGAAAGGGAGAGGGAGGGGGAGAGAGAGAGAGCTCTTTGAGGACTCACCAACATGCTGTCTGTAAGTGATGAGAATAATCAATTAGCCCTCTCAAGTTCATGTCCATTTTAGAACTGCAGGATAGAAAGGTTACGGGCTGCTTCACACATGCATGTTCATCACCCGATTTCTGATCACTTGCCTGCTCAACACTTAACTATGAAATATCTGCCTATATTTTAAATCTGTGATGCACAACGAGCCCCCTCTTCATGCTGGTCTTCCAGTAATGAAAATCCTGGCGTGAACCAACCTCGATGCTTATGCTGCACAAAACACTTTTTTTTTTTTACTTCAATCCACCCTTCCTTATTCCAAATATTCCAAGTTCCAGACATTTTTGGAGCAAGTACTATGCACATTTTCTTTCATCTCTTGACCTGGAGATAAAAACTATTTTATATAGAGAATGATAGGGCAGACATTCTGCAGAATGTCCCTCCTGCTAGAATGCTTGATGTTGCTTTTCTAGAGTTGTACTTTTTATCTTATTACAATGATCTTGCTATTTTATCACAGTTTTAGTATTTTATAACAAGCTACCCTGATAATGTATTGAAGAGGTATTGAAGAGCGGGGCATAAATGTTTGTGTGTGTGTGTTGTGTGATGACCAGCAAGACCAGATTAAAATGGTGCAATTGGACAGGAATGATGATAAAAATAAAATGTTAAAAGGTTGTAGCAAAAGATGGCATGCACAGTAATAAATACATTATTATCTTGACAATTGGTCAAAAATATAATACTTTGCTCTCTTCTCTCTCCTAAATCTGAAATAGCATTCCTTCCTGGTTTTGATGTGTTTCATCCTTTGCTTTTGGTCATCATTTCATCAGGTGTAACTCTCACCAAAAGCTGTGTACTATTTTCCCCTGAGTAGTCAGAAGTAAGTCCTGTTGAGTTCATTTGGGCTTACTCCCAGGTAAGCTGGCATAGGACTGTAGCCTTCAGTTTCTCTTTGTGGTATACAAATAGGTCTAGTAAAATAAATAAATACATTTTTATTTGATAACACTTTTTATCATTTCAAATGTTCTTTACTGGATGGGGGATGGCTTTTTAGGGAACTCCTCCATGATTCCCAACCATCTTAATCCGGTCTTGATGACAGGGTCCAAGGAGTGAAGCAAGGGCTAGACTTGGTGAACAACACATAGGACAGTGCTGGCTAAACAAAAGACTGCAGTCTGAAGCAGCAGCAAGTTATTTTGTCACTCACACTGACAAAACCATCCATCTATCCTTCCACCCACCCACCTTCTGCCACTCACTGTAATACTGTTTCTGCACGATAATAGTTCAAATTCCAGCTGTACAAAAAAAGGGGAGATGACTCATTGGCAGGGGCAATTGCAGGGGTGGAGATTTCATCACAAGGCCTACTTTGGGGTAGCAGAACGATCCGAATCCCAGCCAAGCACCAGCTGGAGCAGTGAAGCCGACATCACATCCTCCGACGCATTGCTCATCCCAGATAGGGCAGAAGATGAGAGCGCAGGCAAAAGCCCACTCCAAGCCTGCAGCTGGTGTGGCAATCAGGTGTGTATCACGCCTGATGCTGTCAAGTGACAGCAGTAGGGCTGGCTTGGGATCAGGGAATCCTGGACTAGCTCTGCCACTTCCTGTCCCTGAAAAAACCCTGTTTTATGACTTTCCATGGGCTTCTGCATGTGGAAACATCACCTGAAGCACTTCCATGAACAGAATGGGGATCTCCAACGACACACACTCAGCACCATGAGGCTGGAGTTTGGATTGCACCCTGAATTGCCCATGAAAAGCAATGCCTTTTAAGAGGATTTACTGTGGCTACTTTATATACATCATAATAACAAGACATGTAAGTACTGCTGAGGAATAATCACATATGACAAGGGTGCAACTGCTTCTCTAAATGATAGCCATACTGGTTGGACTGTTACAACAGTAGCATGAGAGAACCTGTGTCTGTAGTCCATCTCTCTGCTGTGGGATTGTTCAGAGATACTGATGAATACCATCTCCAAATCAGAGTTGACAAGCTTTCTCCATGGATCCATGGCTACAGCCTTAGCAAAACACCCAACAGTGCCAGATTTAGGGCAGTGTTGGTGTTTCCCTGCACAGGGTACATAGCTGAGGGGGCACAAAATAAAAATAGTAATAATAATAATAATAATAATAATATATGGGTACCTACTGAGCAGATCCATAAAAAAGCAACTGTACCAAAAGAAATTATTGTTCAAATAAGAAACATGGGGGGGGGGGAGTGCCAAATGTTGTTCTCGTTCAGGGCACCATATTACTAAAGTCTGCCCCTGTACTTAACACCCCCAGCAAAAGCCTACACTTGTCCACTTAGTAATGAAAACATCAATCAGACCTTGAGAATGCTGCAGTAACATACAAAAGTTCACAAAAGTAAAGTTCATGATCACACAAAGCCAAGTGTACAATATGAAAGGGCATCCTGATCAAAACAACAGTCAAGATTTTATTATCTCAGCAGTGTGCTGGTAAGTAATCTTTGACAGATGTGTCAGGCAGAGGCAGTAAAAGTAATCTGTAGTCTTTGCAGAGAATGAGGAAACTGTAACTATCTTCATATTTTCATTGTGGTTCTTTGAATGGTGCAACAACTATAACTCATGTCCTCTCCTGTGTAGGTTTTGTGAGCGAACTGAATGTATAAACAGCAGCAGGACACACAAAGTAGACTAAAGGTGATGAAGGTTCAAGAAAAATAAAAGTTAATTCTGAAATTCTTATACCTATACTCATCCTTATTTTAAAAGCACTGGGTATTTGTAGATTTCATTTAAAGCATTACATCTTAATTTCACATAGTTTTTTTAATTTACACCCCTCCTTTTGAATTAGAGTTCCAGTTAGAGTAATATTTCAATTTTCTATTCTCATCTTAATTAGATACTGCATATATTCTCATTAAAATTAAAAGTGTTGTATAAGTTCTAAGGCAGGTGTGGGCAACCTTTGGCCCTCCAGATTTTGCTGGACTACAGTTGTCATCCCTGACAATTGGTCATGATGGTCAGGATTGATGGGTCTAGGAGTTCAACAACATCTGGAGGGCGAAAGGTTCCCCACCTCTGTCCTAGGGTTATCATTTGTTATGTCTTAATTGTGTTAGCCTTTCAGATCAGAGACATATTTTGTATGCTCCTTTAATCCCAATACATTGGTCCTGATGATCATCATAAGAAAAAGAAAAAATTGAAGGAGGCGTTTCTAAAATTGGCCATAGTGCAGCAGACTAATTTCCCACAGATACTTATTTCTGATTGTGCCTAATGTTCATGAAAGAAGCATACAAATAATTGAATAATGTCTCTCCTGTTACAGTATTTGTCAAGAAGACATTAGCGATGCATTGGGGACACAAAGTGAATCCCATTACCATCTTAGATAATAGCTATAGATTACCACAGTTCCATATTATTCTGTGTACTTCACATGAGTTTTAAACTTTGTTCGTTAAACTTCCATGACCAATGACAGAGTGCTGCTTATGTATTTAGCAGATGTGACCCAATTAAGCTGAGTAACCACAGCATGTTATCTCTATTGTTCAAAGCCTTCATTCCTCCAACAAAACTTAGAAGAAGACAATCATAGAATTCTAGACTTGGAAAGGACCCTGAGAATAATCTAGTCCAACCCCCTGCAGTGCAGGAATATGCAGCTGTCTCATATGAGCATAGAACCTGCAACCTTGGCATTATCAGCACCATGCTCTAACCAACTGAACAACCAGTGAGCCAACTTCCCCCTGTTCACACAACATCCCTTTTCAACCATCTTTTCTTTGGTTCGTTGATCACTGGCTTAGCTCTAGAGTGAAGCTTGAAGACTGTATAAACTGGTTCCATCATTACTGGATTATGCTCCCAAGGTCTGCATATTGTTAGAAATAATCAGAAATGGGTGTGTGTGTGTGTGTGTGTGTGTGTGTGTGTAGAAGCTACACAAACATCTATTTAAAAGAAGAAGAAAAGGACAGCATGGCTCACACCTTTGGCCATTGGACTTTTAAGAGTCTAGGATCTATATAGACTTCATGTCCACTCATGGATGCCTGGCAATCCTAAATACATAAGATGCTTTGCACGCACTTGGTGGTTGGGGTGTTCCAACATGACTTAACAACCCCACTGTTTGTAGCCTAGAAGTTCATGTTGACTTTGTGTTGTTTGGTGCCATAATGTATCCCGTTTGTGGAATACTAAATATGTTGCACCCTCTCTTTCCATCTGTTCTAAGATATCTCTGTCAGTATCATTTATTATTTATTTACTGCATTTCTATCCCACTTTTGGGACGTGGGTGGTGCTGTGGGTTAAACCACAGAGCCTAGGGCTTGCCGATTAGAAGGTTGGCGGTTCGAATCCCTGCGACGGGGTGAGCTCCCGTTGCTCGGTCCCTGCTCCCGCCAACCTAGCAGTTCGAAAGCACGTCAAAGTGCAAGGAGATAAATAGGTACTGCTGTGGCAGGAAGGTAAACGGTGTTTCCGTGAGCTTCTCTTGTTCTCCAGAAGCAGCTTAGTCATGCTGGCCACATGACCCGGAAGCTGTACGCCGGCTCCCTCGGCCAATAAAGTGAGATGAGCACTGCAACCCCAGAGTCGGCCACGACTGGACCTAATGGTCAGGGGTCCCTTTACCTTTACCTATCCCACTTTTTCCTCCAAGGAGCTCAAGGTGGCATGCACTGTTCTCCTCCCTCCTCATTTATTCCCCACAACAACCCTGTAAGTCAAATTAGGCTGAGATGCAGTAATTGGCCCAATGTCACTCAGTGAGCCTTATTGCTGAGTGGGGATTTGAACCCTGGTCTTCCAGGTCCTAGTCCAAAACTCTAAGCACCACACCACACTGGCTGGACAATGGGATGATGGGGCACTGAAGAAGTTATGAGGAACAAATGTGCGTTTCTAGAGGGAAATGCTAATGACAGCATCCAGCATCAAATCCACTGCTTGCCAAACCCCGCAAGGGCCTCATTAATGGTGCCTCAGGACCAAAGTTGTTTTAAGTGCAAGTTAAGTGCAGTGGCATAACTTGCTCATTGATAGTTTCATCAGCATACAGCAAATCTGCCTGTGGTCAATTTATATGCCCCATGAACATTGATTCCGAACTATAATTAATTAGGAGTTATTCAATATTTCAGTATACCAGACAAGAGTAATTCTTCAACTCCACCATCTTCTCTGAAATGAAAAAAGTAGCATTTTAATAGTGTAGTTTGCCTGAGTTTGCTACAATGCATACAGTTTATTGTTATATATTTGTGAACAAGGTTAAGAGTCTATAATATCCTGTCCCAGTGCAATCTGATACTATATGGTGCTTTTATTTCCTGACTCTTATCTCAATTCTCTTGGAAAATTCATCCATGCATGGTTCTGTCTTCTTTGACTGATTATATATTATGAAATGCTTTCTGTATTTGATTTTTGAAATGACAAATGAATGGCTTGAGGCAGTCAGTGTAGTTTAATTTGATTGAACAGATCATCTCTAGTAATCATAACTTTTATAGAGTATTGGTGTGAAGTAAGCAGTGTTCCTGTGTGTGAGAGAGAAAGAAAGATAGAGCTATATTTATGGCCTTTCACTCCCATTTTGCCAGTCCTCACTCTGCTGTTTGGACTAGTAGGGACAAGGATCTTCTGTAGAAAATACAGTTGGATGGGCAGTGTAAAAGTATAATAAATACACCATCCTTATAAATAGAATTCAGAACACACCTTCCACCAGGTGTGATGGACCTTTGACCCTTCAGCTGCTGCTGAACTTCAATTCCCTTCATCTCTGACCATTGGCCATACCTGCTAGGGCCGATGGAAGTTATAGTTCAGCAACATTTGGAGGGTCAAATGTTCCCTACCCCCACTCCTGAGTTTTGTGGAGACTTCTGAGGGGGAAATTTTAAACCCTATATCCAGTTAAATATATTTAAGCTCATTCAGTTATTCACATTTCCCCCCCAGAATGAAATAGAAATCATACATCCTTTTGACCTGTGGTTCCCCACAAAGTTCTTCTATTCTATGCTCCTAAGGGATTGTGCTAATTCAAGGGTAGGCAAATTAAGGCCCAGGGGCCGGATCCGGCACAATTGCCTTCTAAATCCGGCCCATGGACAGTCCTGGAATCAGTGTGTTTTCACATGAGTAGAATGTGTGCTTTTATTTAAAATGCATCTCTGGGTTATTTGTGGGGCATAGGAATTCATTCATTTTTTCCCCTTCAAAATGTAGTCCGGACCCCCACAAGGTCTGAGGGATAGTGGACCGGCTCCCTGCTGAAAAAATTTGCTGGCCAATATGCTAATTATACCTGTTCCACCAGGGTTTCTTAATGTCTCTGGGTCAAATTACACATTATGTTACACACACATTTTCAGTGCCATGCCTAGCACTGGTGATTTTCTGTTGACAGAAAAAGCTGCCAGGTGGGGCCCTGAGCCATATCAGGGCCATAGCACATGTGCAGCAAATTTTACCCCTTTTCTTGCACTGCCTCCCCCACTGCTGAGAATCCCCTCTCCTCCCAAGCTGCTATTTTCTCTGAGGGTGCTGGTTAATCTCTGTTTTCATTGCAAACCAAGAATGCATTTTAAAGCAAATGCAATTAATAGGTTAATCCATTAATCAACTAAAATCTAACAATGGTCTCAAAGTCTCTCCCTCTGGAATTGGAATTTCAGCTCAGTTCAATAGCATAGCAAAGATTTTTATTGTTGGTAGTCAATGGCCATTACAATACAGATGTGTGACTGGATGCAAGGAAATAAGAAAAGGGTGTGTGTTTTAATGCCTTTCAGCCTTGGTAGGTTCCAGAGCAGTGCACCAAAACGGAATATATCTTTCCTGTCAGCTGTTTTCCCCTTTGTGGTATTCTTCCAGGTACCCTTGCACATCCACTAATAACTCAGCCCTAAATATGCTTTTCATTTAAGAAAATAACAAAACCAAAAGGCTACCAGGGCTTCTTACATGAATTTATGTTTAATATGTTCTAATTTGCATTATTTGTTTCTATCGTAATTGTATTGCTGGAAGCCACCCCTTGATGATGCCTTTGTCCTAAAAGATGAGGCATAAATTTGTATAAATCAGAACAGGGAACCAGGCTGTGGCTCTCCAGGTGTTGCTAGACTCACCGTTTAGCATGTTGAACAAGTGAATTACTGATTAACAGATTATAAAAAACAATCAACAACCATGCACTGCCTGGATAGCATCAGAGTAAGGTGATAGTACTGTGTGCCAAGTTAAACAACTCTCAGGGGAGAAAAAGTCCCTATGGCATTCTGAGAAGTGAAGCAACAAGGTTAAATTTATACCAGACACCTCTGCTGCTGGGAAGAGAACAAGTCCTTGTTTGTTGATCCAGAATCTTCTAAATTATAATGTGTACTCATTGCCCTCCAGCAAAGGCCAAAAATGTTTTGGGGTAAGGGTCAAATCAGGATGCAGTATATTCTTCACCTGCCCAGTTGTTGTTGTTGCTGCTGCTGCTGCTGGTGGTGTTTCAACATAATACAATACCATAGAAATTATGTTTAGGGATAGATTGTTTTTGTAATGTTATGAGAACTTATAATGTGCTTTAAGGAGATTTTTTGGCTATTTGTGAAATGTTACAATATCTATGAAAGATTAATAGCCTAGTCAGCCATTTTATACAACACCATCCATTTGCATCAACCCCAACTGAATTGGCAGCTTATTACTGAAGTTTGCTAAACACTTTCAACTGATGCCAAAGAATGAAGAGCAGATGATACTGTGTAGGTGCTTTCAAATGCAGTGGTACCTTGGGTTACAAACACTTCGGGTTACAAACACTTCAGGTTACAAACTCCACCAACCCAGAAGTAATACCTCAGGTTAAGAACTTTACGTCAGGATGAAAACAGAAATCATGTGCCAGCGGCACGGCAGCAGCAGGAAGCCCCATTAGCTAAAGTGGTACCTCAGGTTAAGAATGGTTTCAGGTTAAGAACGGACTCCAGAACGAATTAAGGTTGTAAGCCGAGGTACCACTGTATTGAGCTGGTCTCCCTCTAGGCATTGCCATTCAAATGGTGTGTGCACACCGTCATGTGAACAATAGAGGTTTACATGCCCCCCAGCTTTTCTTGTAGCATAGTTTTCCACAGTTCATTCTTGATCTTTTTTAGCCATGAAAATCACCTTTCTCTTGAGCTGTTTGTCACTCTGAGACTTAAAAAGTGCCACAATGTTGCTTCTACATTAGGGAAAGTCAATTGCCTCTTCCCTTACATGATGACTTGATACAGTTTCTTGTGTAATAAATGTTTTTTTATCCAAGTGATTTGTTTGATATAAGCATGGATGTCCTTTATTTCCATCAACATTGTTGCCTGAAGCTTTATACTGCTACACAACTGTTTTTCTGAAGTCGCAGGATTAAAATGTATATGGTTGCTGGTTTCATCAAGCTGGTTTCAAGTGCGTCCATCACAGGAATAAAGGACTCAAAATTTGTCTCTTTGAGAAAGCCTTTCATCAGCATCAGGTGCATCACCATCATTACACACACACACACACACACACACACACACAAAATATTTTTATCTTATTCACACATTTGCAGTTTACATCAGGCAGATATTCTTTCGCTTTGAGTTCTATTTCATGAAAACTTTCTCAGGTTTCTTTTAAGAAGTGAGAGAGTGGTATGTAAATATTTGCACATGTGCTAAAACTTATCTGGGGTTCCTGCAGAGCCCGGCTGCTTTTGTGGAACTGAGCTAACCAACAATTCCACAGTTCTGGCATGAACAAAAACTCTCATTCCTCCATTTTCTCCTGAAGTGTGGCAGTTCTCTCCTTTTATCACCCTTTTCAGAATCACTAGGTCTGACCATGAGCAAGGGCCATCCACAACTGAATCATAACTCTCAACTATGGCTGAAGATGCCTTTGCATGTGCTTCCCACCTCAGCTGTGCACATTTATTTTATTTATTTTTTTAAATGATATTTATTAAGGTTTCAAAAAAAGGTTACATAGATAAGAAAAAGAAAAATAGAGAAAAGAAAAATACAAAATACAAAAAAAAAAACAGTTAAAAACAATTCCATCTTTTCATCACTTATCTTTCATTTACTTGTTTCCCGGACCTCCTCATGCCTCCCTTTTTTGTATTCCAGTTCAATTTATTAGTTCAGCAATTCCTTTCCCTCTTTATTTTATCCTGATCCTTAATCTTAATATATTATAGCATTACGTTTTGACCTATTGAAAATCCAATTTTTCCATATTCAGCTGTGCACATTTAAAGCACATGGCAACCCCCTCCCCCAGAACTGTGGGAACTATAGTGCATTGCGGTTGTTGAGAATTGAAGATTAGTGAGGGGTAATTGGCAGAAAGTGAGGAGGAATTAAAGAACCTTTTAATGAGGGTGAAAGAGGAGAGCACAAAATATGGTCTGAAGTTCAACATCAAAAAAATGAAAATCATGGCCACTGGTCCCATCACCTCCTGGCAAATAGAAGGGAAGAAATGGAGGCAGTGAGAGATTTTACTTTCTTGGGCTCCATGATCACTGCAGATGGTGACAGCAGTCACGAAATTAAAAGACGCCTGCTCCTTGGGAGAAAGGCGATGGCAAACCTAGACAGCATCTTAAAAAGCAGAGACATCACCTTGCCAACAAAGGTCCGTATACTTAGAGCTATGGTTTTCCTAGTAGTTATGTATGGAAGTGAGAGCTGGACCATAAAGAAGGCTGATCACCGAAGAATTGATGCTTTTGAATTATGGTGCTGGAGGAGACTCCTGAGAGTCCCATGGACTGCAAGAAGATCAAACCTATCCATTCTTAAGGAAATCAGCCCTGAGTGCTCACTGGAAGGTGCTTCATCGTGAAGCTGAGGCTCCAATACTTTGGCCACCTCATAAGAGAAGACTCCCTGGAAAAGACCCTGATGTTGGGAAGGATTGAGGGCACAAGGAGAAGGGGATGACAGAGGACGAGATGGTTGGACAGTGTTCTTGAAGCTACCAGCATGAGTTTGACCAAACTGTGGAAGACAGAAGTACCTGGCGTGCTCTGGTCCATGGGGTCACAAAGAGTCGGACACGACTAAACGACTAAACAACAACAACAGGGACACGAGTGGCGTTGTGGTCTAAACCACAGAGCCTAGGGCTTGCTGATCAGAAGGTCAGCGGTTTGAACCCCCACAGCGGGGTGAGCTCCCGTTGCTCAGTCCCTGCTTCTGCCAACCTAGCACTTCGAAAGCACTTCAAAGTGCAAGTAGATAAATAGGTACCGCTCCGGCGGGAAGGTAAATGGCGTTTCCGTGCGCTGCTCTGGTTTGCCAGAAGCGGCTTAGTCATGCTGGCCACATGACCCGGAAGCTGTATGCCGGTTCCCTCGGCCAATAAAGCGAGATGAAAGCCGCAACCCCAGAGTCATCTGCGACTGAACCTAACGGTCAGGGGTCCCTTTACCTTTAATTTACAGTACCAGGATTCTTTGGGGGAAGTTGTGTGCTTTAAATATATGGCATGCATGCAGCTCTAGTGCCAGAGAGATATTTTGGCATTGTGGAATCATGACCCAATAATGATCTAGATACTGTGCAACATTTTGTAGAGGCACAGAAAAATGTGCATCTTTTTTGCACAACAGTAACATTGGAATGGCATAGACGGCAGAAGTTAGGCTGTCACTTTCCAGATAGGGAAACAGCTGGGCCTCCAGCCAAAGCTGATGGAAGGCACTCTGGGCCACTGAGGCCACCTGAGCCTCAAATGACAGCAAACCCCAAGCTACGGACCCACTCCTTCAAAAGGAGTGTAAACCCATTAAGAGCAAGCAAGCTCCCACCCTCATGCCTAGGGAACCACCCACTAACAGTGCCTCAGCCTTACCTCGATTGAGCTTCAGTTTTCTGAATCTCATCCAGTACATTACCAATGCAAGACACTGGTCCAGCACATCCACTCCCCCACCTGCAGATGTAAAGGAGCAATAGAGCTGTGAATTATCAGCATATTGCAGATACTTCAAAACTCCAGATAACCCAACTCAGCCGTTTCCTGTAGATGTTAAACAGCATTGGGGACAGTGGCGTAGGAAGGGGTGTACAGTGGGTATGGTTCGCCCCGGGTGTCATCACTGAGGTGGGTAACAAAATGCCAAAAATATGTGTTTTTAAAATAAAAACAATAAAATAAATAAGAAAAGAAAAGAAAAATATGTGTTTTAAAAATAAAAGAAGCGTGTGCTTCTTCCCTTGCGGCCTCAGAGCAGAAAGTGCATGAGGCTCCTTTTGCTGGCCTGCCTGCCTCTTGCCACTTGCTCTCACCGAAAGAGAGTCAAGCATCGGCGCCACCAGGTACAAGAGCATGGAGCTCAAGGCGGAAACCCCGTCCTCCCACCACCACGTCCTTGCGTCACATAGCTCCCTCACTCCCTCCTCAAGGCGTGGGCAATGGCTTCTCTTCTGCCCCCCACCTTTGTACCGAGATCAATTTTGTGGGCAAAAGCGGGTTACGGTGGCCATGTGGGCTCATGAGCAGCAGGCTGGACGTGCTTCGCCCCCTCCTTCCTCTTACCCCCCGCTTCTTGTCCTGAAGTAATGAGTTAAGACATTTATTCTCCCACTCATTTCCATTGATTCTATGAGGTCATTTAGGCAGGACAACAATTTTATTTAGTAGCAAAGTGGCTGCGTTGTGGGCAGAGAAGTGGGCCGGGCCCCCTACATGGTATGTGTGTGTCTGGGGGTGGGGCACCGGCTTCTGATGAATGAAGGTTAAATCCCTTATAGAAACCAAACCCCGCACATGAGATCTTCCAAAAACTGCCAGGGGGTGCCAACCTGCATTGGCAAGCAGAACACAGGCACCAGCACTCAGCAAGAGAACAAAGTTTGGAAAAAAGGTTTTAAGTGCTAATGCTCACAATGTTAAGTAAATAAACCAGAAAATAACACTTGCAACTGTAAGTATCTTATTTTTCCTTCTTTTAATAGTTTCAATGGGGGGGCATGACAAGAATTTTTCCACACCGGGTACCACCCGACCTTGCTACACTACTGCATGGGGGATAAAACTGAACACTGAGGCTCCCACATCGAAGGCTCTGCCGGACCGAAGAGCACTCCCCAAGCATCACTCTCTGGAAACAACCATTCAAGTAGGACTGGAACCACTGCAAAGCAGCGCTACCCACCACTAACTTAGACAGCCACTCCAGAAGGATACCATGGTTGATGGTATCAAGAGCTGCTGAGAAGTCAAGGAAAACTATACTTTCCTGCCATGTTGGTTGCATTAACATAGGTCTGTCCATAATGGTGCTGGGGAGGGCTAGTCCATATATCTTATGACACCCCTTCCCCCTGCACAAAGGCATTCTTTAACACCATTGTCTGGTGGGTTGGATGAGAGCAAATAAACTAAATCCTTGTCAGCTGAGCCCTGACAAAGTGGAAGTGCTGTAGATAGGCCATTTTGGGCCTGGGGATTAGGTAGATGAAATAATGGGGGCTCTGAAAACACACATCTCAGGTGTCAAAGGCCAGGGTAGAGAGGTACATCTTTAGGATCCACAGAAAGCTATACTATGAAGAAGCCAGAGACACCTCTGTGAGGAGGGAATTCCACGACTTAGGAGCTGCCGCAGAGAACGCCTCTCCTGGGCCACGGCAACTCAAACAGCAGAGAGGTGGAATGGCCACAACGGCGCCCATGCTAATCTTAACACCTGGGTGGGTCTGTCGAGAAGGAGCACTCAAAGCACACTCAGCCACTTCAGCTCCCACCTAGGCTAGCAACTAAGGTCATGCATTAAAAGTCTCAGGGGATGTGTGGGTTAGCAGTATTCCAGTAATAAGACAGTCTTTAGTGCTCAGGCCCAGTTATTTATGCAGGCGGGTGTTCCCCAGCTGCAATAATAGCTCATTTGCCCTAATAGCTGCACATCATAAGCTCTTTTCCTCCTATGAACTGCTGCACCACAGCCATTGACTTTCCAATAAAATAAATAAATAAGCAATATCTGTGTCAGCAGCTCCTTGTGTTATCTATTAGCCACATTAGGAATGCTGCTTTATGCATGTACTACTGGGGCAAGGCATTTTAAGGTGTTTAAAAATTGATATGTTTTGGAGTACTTGCTGATAATGCTGAGCTCAGCACAGAGGCTTCCCTCCTTTTCCATTTTCTTCACGCACTGCCAAGCTGTTTGCTAACCAGCAGCAACCTTTGATCCACTTTTTCAGAAGACTCTCAAAATAGGCTGTTGCGAATGTGATTCTGCTATTCAGTGTTGACTGAATCTTCTGGTAACCAATCGGGTCTTTCTGGAGCAAAGGTGGCTTGTGTGGGCTGAGAAGCCCGGAAAACTAGTTGTAGGTTTAATCCTACTGACTAAACAGCTCCCACCTGACATTTAAGCAACCTTGGGACTCAGATTTTCCAACAGAAGAGGTTTGTTCCATGCATTCTAAATAATCACAACTGGCTGACCCAAAAGGAGATCAAGGTGCTTAATAAGGGCTTGGCTTAAAAACAAAACTCATTAAGGCTAGAGAGAAAGTGAAGGTTTTATAACCTTCCACTATTAAAAACTTTCAAAGGCAAACACAGATTTGTTGCTCTGGTGTTGCTGCACAAAACTGGAGGGAGATACACAGTAATAGCTTTTTATTGGGTCAACAATAGTTGTGTAAAAGGTCCATAGGCTTGAGCCAAACTGGGCATGGAGCAATATATTTAATAGGTAAGTTTATATCCCACTTTCTCCCTATGGAGCTCAAGATAGTATGTGTGGATTTTTTTTCTCCCATCACACACACATGCCCCATCTGAATTTTATCTTCATAAAAACTGTGTGTGGCAGATTAAGCTGTGTAAGAGCAATGGTTCCAAAATCACTCAGTGAGCTTCAAATGAAGATTGGAACCTGAGTCTCCCTAATCATAGGGTCACATACACACCGTAGAATTAAAGGACATTTAAGGCACATGACCTCCCCTGAAGAATCATGGGAACTGTAGTTTGTTAAGGATGGTGAGAACTGCAGCTCTGTGCAGGGTAAATTATGGTTCCCAGGATTCTTTGGGGTAAGTCATGTGCTTTAAATGTGCATTAAAAATACTATACATGTGTACTGTGGGCATGAGCCTAGGCTGCACCACACTCTTCTGTTGAAAACTACAAATCAGCTTGGAATTACCTTTATCATTAAAATGTGCTAGCAGAATTCATTTTGCAATGAGGTTGCAAGTCTTTATGAACAAAAGGCTAGGCGTGATTGCCTGGGAGAACGTTTGCTAAATGTACTATTGCCTCCAATGAAAGAACCGGTTTTGAAATGTGTGGTGGGGAAAGGGTTTCTTGGAAGCTCACCAATAACTAATTTTCTCCCTCTGGTCTCCTGTTTTAATGGTGAAATTTCAACTGAAAACCAATTTTCTTCTGAGCCATGTCATATCAGTTCAGAAAGCATCTTTCCCCTCAAGGATTTGCCAGTTCTGAAATGGGCATGTGCTAACTGTTGGGGTTCTGGCTTTGAAAATACCAGACCCCCCGTGAATTTAATGCCCCATCATCTGTCATAACGATTGGCTTTTACTGTGACAAATCGCCTCTGTGTATAGACAGGAGCTATAAAAACCTGGCCTTTCCTTTCCAATGTACCCCAAAACAGGCTGTTTATAATCCCTCTATATAAGTACAATTATCCCATGTAACTAAGAATTCTGTTAGGTGTAATGCAATTCTGAACAAGAGACACACTCTGAATACTATGCGATACTTTCGTTTTTGACAGGGAGCCCATGACTTTTTTGCCTCCTCCTTTTCTCTAAGCTTCAAACTTGATGTGGCTAGGGAAATCTGTATTTAGATCTCCCAAGATTTGGGATGATTCCTTGGATATGGGGTAAGACATAGCTGGAAACTGGCACTGATACCCCTTCTCCACCATTGGTGGAGGCAGCTGAGCAGGTAGCGTGCGTATGAGGGTGCCACCTCGGGACTTCACCATCGACAGAGGCAGCAGGCTGGGTATTGCAGGCGGTAGTAGTGGCAGGTATGGTGGCACTGGCAGCAGGGCAGAGTAACACATCCTGTTTCACCTCAAGTGGCGATATGGGAAGCACTGCCCCTGCTTCCCAGACAGCTCTGGAAATTGCCACTTTGTGAGGGCCATAAGAGCTCTTAGTACCCTTAACAAACTATTTCCCATGATTCTTTGGTGACTGTTAAAGTAGTATGATACAGCTTTAAATATATGGTCCACCCTGAGAACTTAGATTGGATATTACCTTTAGTCTGGATCCAACCTGGGTGGAATCTACACACATGTTTAAAATGTTGTGAAAATGCTTTACAAAAAAAGAGTTTTGAAAAATGCTTTGAATTTGCTATAGCTCACCGTCACCATCTAGTGTCACAATTGTATATTGCACTTTACAACACATTCAAAACGTTTTATTTGCAGCTGTATAGCTGAGTCCCTGGTATATATTTCCCATTTAATTCTTTTTCATTTTTCACCCTCTAATAGTTGTGAATCTACTTTGCTAGTTTGAAGTAATTTTGTGCCTTTGCCATCCTGAATGAATGAATGCCATGCCATTTTGTGCACAGGGCTTCTTTTCAAATATAATAAAGAGACCTGAGGAAATAAGATGCACAAAGGAATAAAGCCTTCATGCCAGTCTTTTGTCACTATTATTCACACCTCCCTCCATGCATTTCATATAGCATGCTGATTATGTTGCAGGATGGCTGGCATCTCGGCTCTTTGACAGTAATATTCACTCATCTATATGATACTGAATACCTATTCACACATGGAAATTAAAAAACGTTGTAGCATAAAGGCCTGCATACATTGACTACCAGCCCACGGTGAGCCTATCAGGAGTACCTGTCAGGCACAGGGTCTGCTGACTACTGAAGCCCACCATGACAGCTGATATAGAACTAAGAAGCAGTTAGTGAGCTGACTGAAGTGGCAAAGGACATTTATAACTGCAATACACTATACTTTCTCACTAATTATCAGCAACCTCTCCATTCTGCTAGATATTGTTCCATGCATTCACTTACATTACAAAAGTGGCTCCAGATACATTGCTTATAATACATACCGTGCAAATTTGTTTTCCTGCCGTTTATATCACAGCCTTCAAAAATTAAAAAAGTTCCAGACAGTTTACAGTCAATCATAAAGCAATAAAACAACAATAATTGTTTTACAGGCCTTCAAGAAAGCAAGAAAGTCTATAAGGCTGTAAAAGTAAGTGCTATCACGCTGAATTATGCTTAAAAATGGACTGGAAGCCAGTGAAGTTCTCTGTTATTATTA